CTCTGCCGTTCAGGACCAGAACCAGACTGCATCCTGCATTAATTCCTCACTTCTACACTCGGGAGCTGTAAACTTGTCGCTGCCTGTTCGCAAACACCAACCCAATTTACCACAGGTGAGCAACCCCCCGGAGATTGCTGCTGGGCCAGGCCCCAGGGGGGTTTTCTCCCCCTTTCTGTGGGTTCCCCAGACGCACTCATGTCCTTAGCCCAAGGCAGGGTCTTTCTGGGCCAATCTGTGTCCACACTAGGAGACTCTCACATCCTTTGGGTTCAGATAGCCCAAGGCAGAGTCTTCCTGGGCCAGTCTATGTCCACAATGAAAGACTCTCAGGTCCTTCAGAGCTTTTTAAGTTCTCACGGGCAGAGTTGTTACTAAACCCACGTGAAATCCACTCGTATATACTGGTGACGGACAATTATTACAAAGCTTTGGAACCATAATATACCGATCGGTCTATAAGTAAAAAGTGACAACTTATACTTAGCAGACCACAGTCCGTTGCCTCATCTGGCTATAACTCCGTGGGCCAGACCCCACCCCAGATTTTATCTTGGGGACCACTTCCTGTAAAACCATACCTATTTATAACTTATCACACTGAGGACAAGTTTACAAAACTCTTTATCTGTAAGCCTTTGTTTTGGGAATGTATGTTCTTTCCCGCTCTTCCAGGATCCCTCCTCCTCCTTACACTTAAAGAGATAATAGCATCTTTCCTTACAGCCTTTCAGAGCTTTCTCAGCGTGGCCTTTCCTCTCTGCTTCCCCCACCACTGTGTGCGTGACCCATTCCCCGCCGAAATGAGCCCAGTGTTGAGAGACATGCACGGCCTACTTTAAGCTCTCATGCCGTACTCCATTCCAAACAGTGTTGGGAGATATAGCTGCTTTGGGCTTTCACGCTGCCCCCAACTCCATACTCAGTATCTCAGCTCTCATGCCGCGCTCCAGGTCTACCAGCGGGTTCAACTTTAACGCTGCACCCTAATCCATGTGTCCCATGAGCAGTTACAGCTCCACGTGGCAGCTCAGCTCCACATCGGTCAGCTACTGGCCACGCCTCCGGGAGCAGCCCCAGCTTCAGGCATGTCTTGGAACTCCGCCTCCCAGCTCTGCAGGGGGCCCCCCCCATGGGCCACAAGCCGCCACTGCCAGCACAGGCACCACCTCCGCCTTGCACATTTCCGGAGGCAGTCCCAGCCCGCCCCGCGCACTACATCCTGGTGCTCAACCTGCCTTCACTGCATGCCCCGCCCCATGCTGGGCATGCTCTGCACTCGCCAGACCAGTCCCCATCCCCAGGCTCAAGCGCGGCTCTGTCTGCCAGCAAAGACAGGCGCAACACGTAACTCATTATATTGCTGATCTGATGCTGTTTGTGTTTTCAGATATTAAGTTCAGATTGTTTCTGCTGCCTTTGTGTTCCAGCCATGACAAATGCCCCCACCCTGGGTGCGCCCCGCCCAACCTCAGAGTTCCATCGTGCTTTAGGCACTGTGTGTCTCCCAAACACAAGTGCTGCTTTAAACAGGAACAGAGAGACAGCAGCTCGGCAGCTTGGCTCAGAGATGCTATTTTTTTTACAATTCTCACACCATTTAATCAAAGTTAAATAAGCCAGCAATAGACAAGACTTTGGCTGATGAACGGGACAGTGGCCACCTGGTAATTTTACCAGCCTTGTATATCAATCAAAGCCTTTAGTAATCTCCTGTTTAACAACTAAAATTGGGAGGTATTTGTGGATTCCTTTTGCTGTGAGCCACCAATGGTGTTCTGTGTTGAGCTTGCTGCCTTGTCTTGTACTGTGTTGTCACCAATCTCCTGTTTAACAACTAAGGTTAGGGATGTTTATACATTCCTTTTGCTGGGAACCACTAGCTCTTTTCCAAGACAAGGGTTATATGATGCATGCAAAACAACAAAACTGACACTGCAGCAGAAGCCAAACTTAAACCTTTTCCCAGCCTATCTGCCTGCCCTGGCTCAGCCCTCCACCAAGCCATAATTAACTATATTCAACTGATATTAAATAACACTATAGCTGATTTCTCTCCTAAATAAAAAAGGAAAAAATTAAACAGGCCATCCTCCAAAAATCAGATGGCATTAGACATTTTAATAACATAAAGAGATACTCATATATATGACATAAATAACATGTCAGTTCCTAAAATTCTCTGGACCTGTCCTCCTTATGGGAAGTCATTACTAAAATTGTAAATACCCTGTTGATTATATTTGACTCCTGCATACTTACTTAATTCTACAGATACCTTCTACTATAGTCCAGATCCCAAACAAAAAAGCAAAATTTGACCTTCAAACCTCATAGAGACCTTAACATGGCTTTTCGTGTTTTCAACAACAGAGATAACAATAACACTTGTGACACTTGGAGGAAAAACAAAACAAGGTGGAGCTGCCTGCCCCCCCCCCCGATGGACCATGCCTCAAATGCAGCAAAAGACATTGGGCAAGAGAGTGCCCCATCCTGGCGTTCTTTGAGACCTTACCCCAGGGCTACTGGATTGCCCTAGCCACCAGAGAGTGGGTAAGCCATCCTAACTTCTAGCCCTCACAGGAAATGCCAACACTGCCAGATTCATCACTGACAGATCTGCTTAAACTTGCTGCTGAAGACGGACAGGGCTTAGGGCCAACAACAGCCCCCTTTATGGGTGTCCATTTCAGAGTCCAAGTCCCACTAAAAGTCTCAGGTAAGACATTCTCTATACTTGTGGACATAGAGGCCATATGTACAGAGTTCTTCCTGAGTTTTCAGGCCGCTATAAGTCCTCAATATCTAAGAGACATTGAGGGTCAACCTATGCCATTTATAAACAGGACCTATTTCGTGCAGGTCCCAGTCCTAAATCTTAAAATGCCTTTTATTCCCTTGTGTTTATATAGGCTGACCCAGACACTGAGGCCTCAACAACTTACACCTGTTATCGCTAGACCACCTCCTTCCTTTCTTAGTCACCAATTTCTCAGGCAACCCTGGTCAAGACTGGCAGATAAATTTTGTCTTCTTTTGTTTATCCTTTTTCAGGATATATAAAAGCCTTTCCCACAACCAGGGAAACTGCTGATATACTTGTTAAAGTTCTGTTACAGCAAATCATTCCAAGGACTACAGCCAGGTTAGAGCGATCCATACCTGATATTCTTGGCAACCTCAACAGTGATCAAAAGTGCTAGACTGCCATACTGGTTTCACATCACTCAGGCTAAGCGGTGCCCTGCCAGCCCTAAATCTGATCATTCTGAGTGGTCATCTCATCTTCTGTCACCCACCCATCTCCATTTCACGGGCCTCACAGACACAGTTAACAGGCTAAGTCATGTTTTGTTATCCACTTTGGTTCATAATTTCTTACATTCTATTAATGATCATTTTTACAGCAGGACTCTTAACAGTCTTTCCTAAAGACTCCCACATCATTCATAAGATCATCTTCATAATGTTCTATGTGACAGCTGTCTTAGTTCTTTCTACCCTCAGCTGTTTGGTTAAACGTGACATCCCTAAAAGCCTTGGCCTTTACCTTCCCTATACTGGTACAGCCACCACCTTCCTGCTCCCCCTATTTTTTCCAGTTCAATTCCTGGACCAGAGACAAGTTTTACCCATCTACCTTTTTAACTTTTACCCTTTCAGATGGGGGAGTAATCACCTCTCATAACTTCACTCCTCCTAACCCCATGTTTAATTTTCAGAATTCTGCCTTACCGTGAAAATGTTTCTACATCAACATGGTCCTGATATAATGACATGTCTAAATCAAAGGCATCTTCCCTTTTACCTCACCTGGGTCCTTAAATATGACAGTGCCATGCCTCCTCATAACATCTTGTCTCTTTGTTTTTCCAGTCTAACATACGTGCATTCACCAGTGAAGTTGTCCTGGCTAAAACACGTGGTCCCAGCTTCTACCTGGGCATAAACCGTCATCCTGCCGACTCCCCTAGACCCCAGTACAGCACCATCTGCCAGCAGGAAGCAGTTAAAGAGAGAAATCTTCACCCCTTTTCATAATAATAATCATAAAATGGGATACGAAAGAGCTTTGGCCCAGACAGGACACTGTAGCCAGTAAAGCCTCAGGCAGAACCAAGGAACTCCATCTTCCCCACCCCTAGGAATTTACCTATGGCGCCAAAAAAACACCAATGGGCTACCTGTGCATCACTAATGGCCCTTAGGTTCCACCCAAACCTAGGCTACTTATATGCCTCCACTCCACATGTTCCACGGAGAGATTGCCGACCCCGGGGGGAGATGCCATGCCCCAGGGCATGGGGGTGTCTCTCCCCACATTCTCAAAATAAAGGTCATTTATATTTCATACTTATCTTTTCAGCTGCCACTGGTCCCCCACAGTTCTATCAATACATACTGTTTTAGACACGAGAAAAAAGTAAAGAAATACGTAATCAGAAAAAATAAAGTCATTTTTATGTTGTAAAAAACAAGTGGGAAGTTTCTACTCATCACATGCAGCTCTTTCTCTATGAACTATACTAAGTAAAATTACAACTCTCCTTTCTTAAATGATGAGTTATTTCTTCACAAATAATGATAGTTCAGTTTTCTCCTTTTATACACTGTTATCAGATTATTTCAGAAGGTGGGGTCCATTTATCATTCTTTTCTGATCCCAACTAAGTAGCACAATGCCTGGCACAGAATGACTTTTAGAGTACTTCAGCCCAACTATCCAATCAAAAACTCTCAAAAATTTTCCCAGCTCTTTTTGGGATATGCAAGAATCCACACTAGTAGAAAAGTTTCTGGGAAAAATACGTATCACACATTTTGCTATGAATACAAATTCTACTTTTCTTTGGCTACAATTTTTTGATGTTTTTCTTACAATCTTATTCCTTGTATGTTGGGAGCCGCAGCCCCGAGCCCGGTCGCCTCACTTGGCGGACGTGAGGCCTGTAGTAAAGAGTGAGGCCTGAGGTAGATTACCCCTCCCATCGAATATGTTAGTTTCCTGCTTACCGCGTAAACAACCCGCTCAACAATATAGTCTGCCTGGCAACTGATGATGTTAGCCAATCAGCTTGCCTTGCTTACTTTAACATGATTGGACACTGTACCCGTATATATACCGGTGCCACCCCTGGGCGGAAGAAGAAGCCAGATAGAAGCCCGGAAGTAGAAGCCCAGAAGGAGCCGCAGAGAGCGGACCGATAGAGGCTTCGGGGCAGACTGAAGCACAAGAGGAGCCGCGGAGAGCGGACCAAAGGAGGCTTCAGCTGGGAGAACCCAGGGCAGGCTGTACGGAGAAGGAAAATAAAAAGAAAAGGTTGTCCACTACCAGACTGTGTCGTGTGTCCTTCCTGCCGGCCGGGAGCGGACATCGACATTTGGAGGCCCGCCCGGGGACTGATCACCCCCGAGACGTGGAAGTGGACAACGCTCCAGTACAGAGCTGCGAGACAGGTGAGTTGGGGATAAGCCTGGGCTCTGGGTGGCGCGCACCTACAGGGCTTTTAGACTCCCCTCAGGCTCACGCGTAAGTGGCGGATTCCTTGGGCCTCACGCGGTGAGTAACATATTAAAAAATGGGAAACATGCTAGGTAGCGGCACTAAGAGCGAGGGTGGTTGTGGAGAAAGCTCTCAAGAGCTTACAAAAGTACGCAGGGTATCTGAGCAGGCCCAGTCAGGGAGCTCCCGAGAGGGGTCCGTCAAGGGGAACAAGGATGCTAAGGAGGAGGACGGGGCTCTAGCCTCGGAGTCGTCTGACTCCGAGGACGAGGGAAAGTTGAATGGCAAGGAGGCCAAAGAGACCAGCTGTCAGGAGCCTAAGTCGCTCCATAAGGAGTCGGGTCTGCGGAAGAGTAGAGAGCTCCTGAGTGCGCTCCGGCGCGAGAGGGAGGCAAAGCCTTCCGCCCCACCTCGGGGGCCGTTTCCGGAGGCGATCCCTCGCCGCGGGGCGGCCGCCCGGGAGCTCCCTTCCTCTTCGCCAGAACAGGAAGTGATGCACGGGCCCCCATTCTCCGCCCAATCACGGCCGCCGTTTTATGCTCCGCCGCCGGCGGATCGGTATTTTCACAGGTGGCTTTGGCAGGGGAGACGCTTGTTTCATGAGGTACATCCACCACCTGGGATGGATAGTGACCCCTATGGGATATTTCCTGTACAAGTGGCTATAGGCCAGGGACGCAATGTATGGGAGCCTTTTGAGATAAAGCAGATTAGAGAACTTAAAAATGCAGTTACAACCTTTGGGCCGACTGCGCCTTACACCATTGCCATGCTGGAGAATCTGTCTTCTGGGCCCCTCACCCCCGCGGACTGGATTCAGCTGGCGGGGGCGTGTCTGCCCTCGGGTGGTTACCTGGATTGGCGAGCCTGGTATGCAGAGTCCTCTGCAGAGCAGGCTGAGAGAAACGCCAATCGGGGAGACCGGGGGTGGAACAAGAGAATGCTTGTGGGAGAGGGTCGGCGCGCTGATGGTCAGACTCGGTTCCCCGGCGCTCTCTGGCGGGGAGGAGATAGAGAGCCATCCGCTCCGCCCTGGAGCTCTTTTCTAAAAGCGGCTCCCCGCCGAGAGGCCGCCACAGGAAACCCTCCCTTCCCTCAGCCGGCACAGGAAGTGACGCCCCGTTTCACTCTGTCGCGACCGCAGTCTTATGACGTCGCGCCGCTGGGCAGACGGTATTTTCATGGGCGGCTACTCTGCCGAGCAGGCTGAGAAAAACGCCGGTCGAGGAAAAAGGGGCTGGGGATTTAGCTCAGCGGCTTAAGCGCCTGCCTTGCAAGTGTGCAGTTGTTAGTTCGATCCCTGGTACCAATAAAAAAAAAAAAAAAAAAAAAAAAAAAAAAAAAAACGAAAAAGATAAAAATAAAAAATAAAAAACAAAAAGGGGGAGTAAACCCTCGAGGTTTGATCCCTGGTGATGTTTGGCAGATGGACATCACACATATACAGGAGTTTGGGACTCTTAAATATGTTCATGTTTCCACAGACACCTGTTCTCACGTCATATTTGCAACAGCAGAAACAGGTGAAAAAGTGTCTAATGTGATCAATCATTGCCTGGCGGCTTGGGCCGCATGGGGCAAACCAAAAATATTAAAAACTGATAATGGACCAGCCTATATAGGCAAAGCTTTCAATGAGTTCTGCAAAATGATGGAGGTTCAATTAAAACATGGTATCCCATACAATCCCCAAGGTCAAGGAATCATTGAGAGGGCTCATAGAAGCCTCAAAGAAATTTTACAAAAACAAAAAGGGGGAGTAGGCCAAGGCCTGGCCCCAAAGGCACGATTATCCATGGCACTATTCACACACAATTTTTTAAATTTAAATAATGATAATCGCTCCCCAGCTGTGGAGCACTGCAACCCTTCCCCCAACCATAAAGGGTGGGTGAAGTGGAAAGATGTCCTGACAGGACAGTGGATGGGCCCGGATCCAGTGGTCAGCTGGAACCGAGGCGCGATTTGTGTTTTCCCACAGGAACCGGGACGAGAACCACTGTGGATACCGGAGAGACTGACACGGACAACAAAGCCCTCGACTAAAGATCAGACCTGCCCTACTGGAGATCCATCACAGACCAACCAACAAGATGAATAGAAATAGCGGTAGCCCGAAATGGACAAGAAGATCCTCAGGCATATGCATGGCTCGCTCGCCTAGCCTACGACCGAGTCTAGGGACGGTGAGCTTCCCACACTCCTCCTCTAAAAAATTATGATATAGCAGGGTAGATGAGTCAATGACGGGTAAGAGCGTGCCTCCCCAGCATGACTCGACCTAAGCCAGGCCCTACCCCATCCTGCACGTAAGCCGCTGGACTGTTAGATGCTGCCCAGGTCTAAATTTCTCTCCGAGGGGATTTCTTTACGGAGAGGAAATGAGTGCAAGCTTGTGTGCATCCAGGTTCCGTCCAGTTTGTGCCTGGCCCTAGAAAAAGGACGAGGGCCTCAGGGCCTTGGCAGACCATGGGACGGCCGACCAGGGTCTAAGCCAAGGACCTACGGTGGGCCTACGCATAGGGCATAAGCCTCTGCACCCAGTCCAGGAAGGGCTACGATGCGCACATTCATAAAAAATAAAAAAGGGGGAGATGTTGGGAGCCGCAGCCCCGAGCCCGGTCGCCTCACTTGGCGGACGTGAGGCCTGTAGTAAAGAGTGAGGCCTGAGGTAGATTACCCCTCCCATCGAATATGTTAGTTTCCTGCTTACCGCGTAAACAACCCGCTCAACAATATAGTCTGCCTGGCAACTGATGATGTTAGCCAATCAGCTTGCCTTGCTTACTTTAACATGATTGGACACTGTACCCGTATATATACCGGTGCCACCCCTGGGCGGAAGAAGAAGCCAGATAGAAGCCCGGAAGTAGAAGCCCAGAAGGAGCCGCAGAGAGCGGACCGATAGAGGCTTCGGGGCAGACTGAAGCACAAGAGGAGCCGCGGAGAGCGGACCAAAGGAGGCTTCAGCTGGGAGAACCCAGGGCAGGCTGTACGGAGAAGAAGAATAAAAAGAAAAGGTTGTCCACTACCAGACTGTGTCGTGTGTCCTTCCTGCCGGCCGGGAGCGGACATCGACACTTGTATGAGCGGTATTTTGCTTGTTTCATCTCTCCTTCTTCCTTCCCATACTTTCTTGGCTTAGACTTTAAAACATCAACTCTCACCTAAACTCTGGTGACAAAAGGGTTAAAATTGTCTGCACCCAAATATCTTAGACAACACACTTCTGCCCAACACATACTGGATTGATCCTAACACACTGCACCAATGAGGACTAAACAGCACAAGATAAAAAAGTAAATACAAAAACTATCCTTTCTTTTCTTGAGATGATATTATACCTTTCCCAAAAAGGCTAAAAACACACAGATAGACATATCTAAGTCTTTTCTTAAGACTTAAGCCAGAGGCCTTGGTAATTTGCAACTCTAATGTATAAACTTTAGTTAAATACAGGTGTTCCTAGATTAGCAAAAAAAAAACCAGGACACTCTGAGAAATGCTTTTATAAAATATAGTATCTGTATATGCTAATTTACATCTTTTCCCAAGTCTTTGTTCTTTTATAAAAACCCCAATCTCTAACCCTAACTTTGAAATTCCATTCTTAAAAACTCCTCCACTGAGTCAGAAGTGGTAGCACAAGCCTGTAATTCCTGTACTTGGGAGGCTGAGGCAGTAAGATCACCGCAAGTTTGAGGCCAGCTGGGCTACAACATATTTAGTTCAAGGCCAGGTTGAACTACATAGCAAAACCTCAAAAAAATCTAAATAAACTTTTTCTCCTCCTATATTCCTTGACTACTGGTAAATTCTTTCACCACCTGCAGAATGCCATCTGGCATGGCAAAGAGCACTGGAAACACATCTGACCTTATGGCTCATTTTTACGTGCCTTTGCCAGTGAATGAATATCTAACAAATTTTCATTTCAAAATTAACATATCCAAAACTGAATCCCTATTTTTCCCCAAAAACCTGTTGTACCACTATCTTACCCACCTCAGACTCCCCTCATTTGACTGCTGTCACATCTCATGTCCAAACTTCAGCAAATCCTCTTCACTCACATTGAAAACACTTCTCTCCAACTTTACCTCTGGTTGGAGCCACCACCACCAATCTTGCCTGAATAATTCTAAGTCTCTTAGATAGTCTCCTTGCTTCTATCCCTACCCCAGACAGTCCATTCTCCACAAAGAAAACACATGATCACTTAAAGTATTTGTTGGAAGCTGGACAGCATGATGGTAATTCTAGTACTCCGGAGGCTGAGACAGGAGGATCCTTGTGAGTTCTAGACCAGGTTGGGTTATAAAGTGAGCTCAAAGCCAGCTTAAACTGCATAGAGACCCTGTCTCAAAAAGACCAAAAAAAAGCATTTGTTGGATCATGTCACTCTGCTCAAAACACAGAAGTAAATGTGTAATCAATCAGCGTAAAAGCACTAATCCTTAAAAAGGCCTAGCTTCCTAACTTCATCCCTACGCCCCGCCCCCACTCAACCCTAACCACACTGCCACCAAGTAGATCCTATAATAGGACAAGCGTCAACTATCACAGAGCCTTCCCTCCTAGAACCCTTCTAAAAAGCCACAGGTGAAGTCTCTCAGCTCTTTCATGTCTTCAATTAAAAGTCATCTTCAGGGCTAGGTGTGGTGGTGCACACCTGTAATCCCAGCACTTGTAAGACTAAGAAAGACAATTTTGAGTTGGAGCCCAGTCCAGGCTACATAGGGTAGCCTTCACTACACAGTGAGATCTTGCCTTAAAAAAAAAAAGTCATCCTCATTAAAGGACAACCATGCCCACTTAAAATTGAAAAAAAAATTGCAACCCAACCTAACCTCTCACAGCACTCTCCAACTCTTTTATCTTTTTTCTCACAGCACTTATCACCTTCTACCACAGTAGACACATCTATGTGTGTGTGTACCAGATATACACACACATATATACTGCATACTGATACATATATTGATGTATATGTATCTTTAAATGGGTTTTGTGTGATGGGCTTTCGTCTGTCTTCTTCTAATCTAAAATATAAGCTCCTCTAAGGCCAGACTGTTTTAGGTCTTTCTTTCTCTTTTGTATCTTGAGCGGCTAGAACAGGTTCTAGGTATCCATAAATATGTGTTTGACAAATTAATGGCTCTTAGGAAGCATAAAAGGAACTAATTAACGAAAGACATCACCCCTTTATCTTCACAACCATTCAGGTCAGGGAGGGATGAAAATAAAAATCACTCAGGCAGGTAGCAGGGAAACTGGGGATTTGAAAATATTTCAGTGTCATCAGCTTTCCAGGACACATCTCAGTTCATCCTTAGCAATCACTAAATGCTCTTACTATCATTAAGGTGTTGGCATTCAGAATTTAATACCAACTATGAAAGTACTTTCTATGCTTACAAATTTCTCTACTTTTGAAAAATTCAAATCTAAGAATCTACTGTTCCTTGCAGGCATCATGGTGGTGCACACATGTAATCCCAACACAGTAAGACATCCATTTCAAAAAGAAAAAAAGACAGCAGCTCTTAACTCAGTTTGCCAACATCAATGAAATCAGGGTCCTCAAACTTGAGGAATACTCTAGCAAAGAATGATACTAAAAGAATGAAAATATTATTAGAATTACCTCTCAAGTACCAGGTAATGATCACCAGATACCTAGCTATGTATGACCTAGCAACATGAAGTCACCTACCAGATGACTAACCTTGAGGAATGTAGGCCAGCTTCTGAATAAAATCCACAAGCCACTTAACTATCCAAAGACAACAGCACATCCACTATCCACTTCCTGAAAAGAGTCTTAGAACTACTTCGTGGCTCTATAAATAGCCATAATTATGTCACAAATGGTAAAGGTTTCATAAATGTAGAACTCTATAATCATGGTCAAACCACAGCCAACATTACGAAATGTATGTATTTACTCTAAAAGAATTAATTTTCTTAAACTGACAAGTATAAGTGCCTTACTCATTGAGTGGACTTCACTTTTTCATACTAGTTGGAGAAAAATTATGAGAGTATTTTTTAAGTAACAAAGCTTAGAAATAAGCTTCAATACTGGTATTTAATTCGTAATTCAAAAAACACTATCAAGTGACTACAGGAGCTGTTGGGGGTGGGTAACTAGAAACAAGACAGTCCCGCTCTCCATGAATTGACCATCTAAGGGAGAAAAGAAAAGCTGGCAAAGTAACTACAAGTGAGATAAGGGACCCAAAGCCAGACATGGTGGGCAGGGGAAGGCACAAAGATGGTAACACAAAGCATCTAGGTATAAGCATTGCCTAAACAATGTGCGAGCAGTAACTGAATGTGAGAGCAGTCATTAGCCGGATGAAGAGGAGCTAGGAGTTAGGGCAGGGAAAACAGCATGTGCAAAGGCCTTGAAGCAGAGAAGGACACCAGTGACAGTGAACATTTTAGAACTTTCAATGACACAAACAGCTCTCACCCACCATAGAATCAGATAGCCACCCCTGCCATGGTCAGAGTCAAAAGGCAGTGGTAACAGAACTAAGCTAAGGAGGGTGAGGCTGGGTCCTCAATTAATGCTTTGACTCTAGCCTCTGGGGAATAGGAAACCTCCGAAAGATTCTGAGAAGAGCATCACTATTGGTTTGGGGGGGCTTTTTGTTGTTTTTGGTTTGGTTGGCTTTTTTGTTTTTTAGCTTTCTGAGACAGTTTCACTATGCAGTCAAGCTGGCCTTAGGTTCACTAGTTAGCCAAGGGTAGCCTTGAACTAACTAACAGTGAGCCTCCTGTCTCAGCCTTCCAAGTGCTGGAATTATAGTCATGTACTCTCATGCCAGCCAGTTTTGTTTTTTAAAAATATCAATCCAGCTTCAGTTTAGAGAATGGATAGTAAAAATAAATGTGAAGAGGCCAGTTCATCAGAATCCTTTCAGGAAGAAGGTCATGGCAACTATAAAGGACAAAAATGGATAGAATTAAGGTATATATAGGAAATAAAATTGGCAAAATTTAGTGACTGTATTTGCTGAGGAAAAAAAAAAATGTGTGTCAATGATATCTGGTTTGACCAAAGAAATCCAAGACCTTTTAAAAATTGTTAAGAAAGAAAATGGTGTGATCAGTAACAAATTTCAGCCCCAAGCTCCAGAATTCAGACACTGAAAATAGTAACTTGCAAAAGATAAATGTAGAAGAAAAACACCAGGAATCAGGAAACAACTAAAAGAAAACATTAGAAACTAGAGAATTTGGAAAGACGGTCCACAATTCAAAAAAAAAAAAAGAATGAAACAATTTGGACTCTCTCCCCAGCTCTTGAAGTCCATGGAGAGGGGAATCTGACTCCCTAAAAGCAAGGTAAGCACCCACAGCTGGGAGATTTAGGGAGAAAGGAGAGCAGAGCATATGGCCTCTTCAACTGCAAAAAACAGCGTGGGGTTTTCTTCTGAGAGCACTATCCAGTAAGAAAAACAAAGGTCCCCAGAGATCCACAACCAAATTCTACAAGAACTTTATGGAAGCCCTAACACCAATACACCTCAAACTCTTTAATGAAACTGAAAAAGAAGCAGTACTCCCGAAGTTATTCCTAGAAACTAGCATTACTCTGATTACAAAACCAGAAAAGAACCTATTGTGGTCAGAGTTTAAAAGGGGAAGGATTTAATACAGAACACATGACTTACAGGATTATTGTATAATATCCACTCAAAGAGTCAAATGCAGAAAAGTGTAGATCTGCCCACACGTTGTACCCAAAGAACCCAGCTAAGAACCTGGATCCCACGCACCAGTACAGCTGAAGACCTAGAGCCCATGGCAATGTCTCATGCAAGTCTATATCAAAGATCTACAGTAGGAAGGCCCAAAGGTCGGTAGCAGATGCTAAAAAAGCCTGCACCAGGCTGAAGAATCTGTGCCAGCAGGCTAAAAGATCTGCACTGGAGCCAGCAACACGCAAGGCAAGGACCAGAGCTTCCCCATATACCACAGTCATTTTCAGTGACAGTGAGAACCTGAGATCCTCTGATG